AAAATATAATTATAGAAAAAATAAAAAAAAATAGTTATTTAAAAACAAAAACAAAAACAAAAAACTGGCATAATTACTCCGGAGAAGTCCCAGATAGCAGATTTCCCCAATGCAATACATCTTGTGTGTGTGTGTGCGTGTACCGTCAAATCAGATCTGACTGGTACAGGAGGAGATTGCCCCTCCTTCCCTGGCAGAGCATCTGGTGCATTCGAACCGTGCACCTCTGGGATTGTATTTGCAGCTTCTTGCCACTAGGCCACCAGAGCTCCCCTGCAATACATCTCTTGATTTCTTTACTGTTGGATGTTGCTTGTGGTTCCAACTGAAATGAAATCATTAACGACTTCAGTCTTTTCTCCATTTATCATGAGGATTTTTGTCTTCTTGATGTTGACGTGTAATCCATATTGAGAGCCGTAGTCTTAGATCTTCTGCAGCAAGTGCTTCAAGTCCTTTTCACTTTGAGTGAGCAAGGTAGTGTCTGTATAATGCAGGTTGTTGATGAGTCTTCTTCCAATCCTAATGTCACATGTTTCTTCATAAAGTCTAGCTTTTCAAATGAATGATTTGTTCAGTGTACAGACTGACTGGATAAAGGATATAGCCCTCAAACATTTATTCATAGATTTTAAGCCATGCAGTGTTCCCTTTCTCTGTTCAGATGCTTGGAAGGGTGGAGGGTTGGCGAAGCAGAGGAAGACCCTTGACCGACTGGATTGACCCAGTGAGTGCCACATTGGACTCTAGTGTGTCAGGAAGTGTGAAGGTGGCAGAGGATAGGATGGGGTTCACAGGGTTGCTGTGAGTCATAGTCCACTCAATGGCACTTAACACCACCACCAACACTTAGTCTGTATGCTAAGCAAATCAGACTAGATTATATGAAGAACAATGTAGCTTTAGAATTAGAGTAGGACTCATCAACAACATTACGGGGCAGATGATACTACCTTCCTTGCAGAAAGTAAAGAAGCCTTGAAGCACTTACTGCAAGAAGCTCAAAAACTACTCAATATGGATTACATGTCAACATAAGAAAATAAAAATCCTCACCTCTGGACCAAAAGGCACCATCATGATAAAGAAAAATTGTCAGTTATTTCCTTGGAATCAATGGTAATGAATCAAGAAATTGAAAAATATGTTGTATCGGGGAAATCTGTTGTCAAGGACCTATTTAAAGTGCTAAGGAACAAGGATGTCCATTAACAGATTCAGGTGCATCTGTTCCAAGCCATAGTATTTTCAGTCCCTTCCTATGTGTCTGAAAGATGGAAAATGAAATATAAAGGTGACTGAGGAATAATTGATTCCTTTGAACTGTGCTGTTCGTGAAAAGTGCTGAGTAACCCACGGACTGCCCAAAGAACAATTCTATTTGGAGGAAGTACAACTTGAATAGATGCAAAGATGGTGAAACTCTGTTATACACATTTTGAGTGTGTTGTCAGGATTGGTTAGACCTTGGAAAAAGACATCAGGCTGGGAAAGGCAGAGGGTCAGAGGAAGAGGAGACCTCATTAAGGTGGATCGGCACAATGACAATGAGCTCCACCTCGAGCTTGAGCTTCTGAGGATAGGGCAAGGTTCAGACCTATTGCTCATAGGGTTGCTATGAGTTGTAGTGGCCTGGATAGCACCCAACAACAACAATCTGCTCTGGTAGCATAGTGCATAGCTAGTTTATGGCCCAGTCTTAATCCATTTGGCATTCTCTTGTCACTTACAGCTTTGGAAACCTGATGGGAGAGTTGCTATGACCTGGAATCAACTGGTAGACCAGTTGACAGTGAGTTATTAAGAAATGCTGGGGAGCTCTGGTGGCCTAATGGCAGAAAGCTGTACTGCAATCCCAGAGGTGCATGGTTCGAATCCACCAGATGCTCTGCTGGAGAAGGAGGGACAATCTCCTCCTGTACCAGTCAGATCTGATTTGACAGTACACATACAAAACTAATAAAGATAAATTTTTTTACAAGGTCAAATTAAAATTTCTTTTTAAAAAAAAATAAAAATTTTTTTAAAAAAGAAAGAATTGTTGAAGGGAGCAAGAAGCTGCACTGCAATCCCAAAGGTCCACAGTTTGAATTCACCAGATGCTCTGCTGGGAGAAGGAAGGGATATCTTGTCCCAATCAGATCTGACTCCATGATATACAATAAGAATTTAAAAAAAGTTGTTGTTGTTGTTATTAGCTGCCATGGGGTTGAGTACGACTCATAGCGACCCTATGGAAAACAGATCTGAACCCTGTTCTATCCTGTGCACCCTCATAATTTCTGACATTCTTGAGCCCATTGCCGGGGTCCTGTGTAAATCCCTATGGTTGAGAGGTTTTTCTCTTTCTCTGATCATCCACTATTCTAAGTATGATAACTGTTTCCAAGGGATAGTCTCTCCAAACAACATCAGAAAGGGAGCTCTGGTGACCTAGTGATAGAGTTGTGCTGGCAACCCAAAGATTGTATTTTTGTTGTTAAGTGCAATCGAGTCACTTGCAGCTCATAGGGCCCCTATGTATAAGCTCTGAACACTCCCCCATCAGCTATTCTGAGGAGAAAGATAAGCAATCTCTTTATGTACCATTAACTGCCTCTGAAAGCCCGCTGGGAGTCAGCTATGAATCCGTTCTGTTGCAGTGATACACAGCAACAAGAGCGGAAAGGGCAAATCAGAAAAGTTGAAGAAGTTAGAGAGAGGGAAGGAAGGGAAGGGAAGATAAATTTAAAAACTCATTGCCTGGAGCCAGATCCGACTCCTAGCTGACCCTCTTGTGGGTTTTCAGAGGCTGTAAATGGCATGGGAGGAGACTGCATGTTTTTCTGCCACAGAGTTTAAGGTGGACTTGAAATGTTGGAGAGATGCCACCTTTGTGTTAGCAGTGCTTCTCCTTATGGACTAGGCCACCCTGAAGGTAGCCTGGTTGGTAGGTAATTTCTTCCCCGCCCCCAAGACTATATCCTCTGTAGATTTTCCACAGCCATAAGACATTTCCCCGTAATGGTCGAGAAAAGGGATTGTTTCTTTTGCAAACTACACTGCGGCCAAATCCCTCCAGTCTCGTTCAGTGGCTTGTAAAATAAAACCCAAATCCATTCATCTGGCTTGGTATGCCTCAGTGTTTATGGTGCCCCTGCTTCCAGGCTTAAGGCTGAACTCTTTGCTTCCGCAGGGCTTTACAATATTGTTTCTGGTCTCATATCAGGTTAATCTGTATCTCTCAAACCATCATCCTTTCATCCAACACTATCTAACCCAGCATAAATTTGGCCTCCGCCGCCATCTACACTGTTATGTTCATTCCTTTGAAACGTTTATTTGTGACTGGATATCTTACCTGAGTACATTCACATCTATTATTGAAACTCAGGTCCCCAACTCTTCTAGGTGCCTTATGCTTCAGGAAGGAGGGGCCTGATAGGTCTGGCTTCCCACAAGACCCTAAACTCAACGAGGCTCAGCAATTGGTGACTTTGTTAAGTAAACAAGTCAGTCAACACCGACCGAGATTGTACTAGGGAATGGAGAGAATCCCAAAGCATAAAAATTGAGCTCCTGAGGGTCTGAGGGCAGTGGCCTGAGTACTGCCCTTGGGAACGTAGCCTCCTGGGCTCGGTGGCATTGGGGTATCTATCGCCCCTGGCTGGTATTGCTCCATATTACCCAAGTCCCGGAGAGCAGCACTCGAACCTCTCCATTAGGCGGCGCTCCAAGCCATAGCCACCAGGCTCGGTGATAAGCACCATGGGACTTGTAGTTTCTAAGGGGAAGCCTCTGGCGCTTGCGCATTGAAGAGAAGGCCCCAAATCAAGATTTCGGGTCTATGTGAAGAGCAGTCCAGACAATAGTATTCCAAGTGAATACATCGCTTTCGTTTGACGTGTATAAACCTTGTGAGGGCAAGAATTGGCTCTGTCAAAGCCATCAGGATAGTCTGAAAAGCGCCGGATTAAGGCCGCCCCCGCTCCGGAAGTGATCTTCCCCTGGCGCGGTGCATTGTGGGGGGCGTAGTCCTCCTTCCCAGGCGGTCCTTCGCGGCGTCCCCGGGGCCGACTCCGGTGCGCAGGCGAGCGGCCGGGCGGGCTACGCGGCGCGGGCCGGCGGGAATCGTATTCTGAGCACGGGGCTCCGGGCTCCGCCGACTGCATCGAGCAGCAGTAGTGGGAGGCTACCTGAGGCCTCGCGCGGCGCCGCCCGTCGAGGGGCGGGCGGCGGCGGGCCGTCGAAGGGCGCGGGAGGCCGGTGGGCCAGGTCAGGCCGCACACCGCAGCCATGCCTGGCTTTACGTGCTGCGTGCCGGGCTGCTACAACAACTCGCATCGCGACAAGGCACTGCACTTCTACACGTTCCCCAAGGACGCTGAGCTGCGACGCCTATGGCTCAAGAATGTATCCCGCGCCGGCGTCAGTGGGTGCTTCTCCACCTTCCAGCCCACCACGGGCCACCGTCTCTGCAGCGTTCACTTCCAGGGCGGCCGCAAGACCTATACGGTACGCGTCCCCACCATCTTCCCGCTGCGCGGCGTCAATGAGCGCAAAGTAGCACGCAGACCCGCGGGGGCCGCAGCTGCCCGCCGCAGGCAGCAGCAACAACAGCAGCAGCAGCAGCAGCTACAACAACAACAGCAGCCGACGCCGCCGCAGCAGCAGCCACCGGCCTCCACTGCTCAGTTGCAGCCGAACCTGGTATCTGCCTCGGCAGCCGTGCTTCTCACCCTTCAGGCCGCTGTTGACAGTCAGGCTCCAGGATCCGTAGCCCCGGCCCCCACCGCTCCCACTGGAGAAGACGTGAAACCCATCGACCTGACGGTGCAAGTGGAGTTCGCAGCTGCAGAGGGCGCCGCAGCCGCCGCGGCGTCGGAGCTGGAAGCTGCTACAGCGGGGCTGGAGGCAGCCGAATGCCCCATGGGTCCGCAGTTGGTCGTGGTAGGGGAAGAGGGCTTCCCAGACACCGGCTCCGACCACTCCTACTCGTTGTCTTCAGGCACCACGGAAGAGGAGCTCCTGCGCAAGCTGAACGAACAACGGGACATCCTGGCGCTGATGGAGGTGAAGATGAAAGAGATGAAGGGCAGCATCCGCCACCTGCGTCTCACTGAGGCCAAGCTGCGTGAAGAACTCCGGGAGAAGGATCGTCTGCTGGCCATGGCTGTTATTCGCAAAAAGCATGGAATGTGAACGGTACCCTCTGTGGCCTGTGGGACTCTTGGACTTTTGCCAGCTCGGGGGGACCTCAGGCTGCTGCTGAACTCTCCCACACTCTTGGGGTACTGGTTGACAATGATGAGGCTTAGGGCAGCTGGGCTCTTTTGCTGGTGACCTGACATCCTTGTTGCCTCCTGAAGCAAGGGTCTGGGGTCTCAGACTGCACTGATGACACCAGCAGGACTTGGTCTTCTCCCT